GAAGTGGGGCTGAGATGGAGGCGAAGTCTTTAATAAAACGAGCGCAGTAAGTAGCCATACCAAGGAAGCTTTTCACCTCAGTGGTGGTTTCTGGTGCGCTGGCTTCTTTGATTGCAGCCACCTTCTTGGGGTCAGCTGAGATCCCACCAGCCTGGAATATGAACCCAAAAAATTCCAACCTGGATTTGTTAAACTCACATTTTTCTCCATTGATTAGTCTTTGGAACACTGTGGTGAGGCTCTTGTCGTGATCGGTCTGTGTTTTTCCATATACTATGATGTCATCACTAAGGTTCTTTATACCATCAATCCCTTGCAGTGTCTGGCAAATTGTGTTTTGAAAAACTTCAGCAGCAGAGGAAATGCCAAAGTTCAGACGTTTGTACCTCCTCAGGCCTTTGTGAGTACTGAAAGTTGTGATGTACCTGCTGTCCGGATGGAGCTCCAACTGATGATACCCAGCCCTTAAGTCCAGTTTGGAGAAGACTGTAGCACCGTTGAGCTCATGAATTACGTCATCCATTGTGGGAGTGATATGACGCTCACGCTGTATAGCAGTGTTGGCTTGTCTCATGTCAACACAGATTCTCACCTCATTTGGGTTTTGGTGGAGTCACAATTGGTGAGACCCACGGTGTCGGACCTATGACATTCTCAATGATGTCATTGTCTTGCAACTTTTGAAGCTCTTGCTCAATCTTTTCTCTAATGTGAAATGGCACGCGCCTGTGTGGCTGACAGGTGGGCTGAACATCAGTGTCAATGTGGAGTTTCACCTGAAAGTCGTTTAGCTTTCCAATGCCTTGGAAAAGCTCCGGGTAACTATCTACCAGTCGATCAGCGACCGTAGACACACTATTGACAACTTTTATGAGGCCTAGCTGCGTAGCGGTGTCAAAGCCTAGCAGGGAAGAGCCTTTACCAGCTTTCACATACTGTAGAACTTGCATATTGTCTTTTTATCGTTAGCTGCTGCCTCACTTTCAAACATGCCAGATAGCGGTAATGCAGTGGTACAGCTGTAGGGAAAAACTTTAGTATCTGCTGGGACTAACTGTGGCTGTGGTGATAGCATGTCAAACGCAGCTTCGCTAATGACGTTTACTGTGGCTCCTGAATCAAGAATCACAGATATGTCTACACCGCCAACCTGTATGTGTGTAATTGGTGTACCCTTTTTAGTTGAGCTGGTAGTCACGAACACATACAGTGCCTTGCGAAAGTATTCGGCCCCCTTGAACCTTTCAACATTTCAACAGGCTTCAAACATAAAGATATGAAAATGACATTTTTTGTCAAGAATCAACAACAAGTGGGACACAATCGTGAAGTGGAACGACATTTATTGGATAATTTAAACTTTTTTAACAAATAAAAAACTGAAAAGTGGGGCGTGCAATATTATTCGGCCCCCTTGCGCTTATACTTTGTAGCGCCACCTTTTGCTGCAATTACAGCTGCAAGTCGCTTGGGGTATGTCTCTATCAGTTTTGCACATCGAGAGACTGGAATCCTTGCCCATTCTTCCTTGCAAAACAGCTCGAGCTCAGTGAGGTTGGATGGAGAGCGTTTGTGAACAGCAGTCTTCAGCTCTTTCCACAGATTCTCAATTGGATTCAGGTCTGGACTTTGACTTGGCCATTCTAACACCTGGATACGTCTATTTATGAATCATTCCATTGTAGATTTGGCTTTATGTTTTGGATCATTGTCCTGTTGGAAGATACATCTCCGTCCAGGTCTCAGGTCTTTTGCAGACTCAAACAGGTTTTCTTCCAGAATGGTCCTGTATTTGGCTCCATCCATCTTCCCTGTCCCTGCTGAAGAAAAGCAGGCCCAAACCATGATGCTTCCACCACCATGTTTGACAGTGGGGATGGTGTGTTCAGGGTGATGAGCTGTGTTGCTTTTACGCCAAACATATCGTTTTGCATTGTGGCCAAAAAGTTCGATTTTGGTTTCATCTGACCAGAGCACCTTCTTCTACATGTTTGGTGTGTCTCCCAGGTGGCTTGTGGCAAACTTTAAACGAGACTTTTTATGGATATCTTTGAGAAATGGCTTTCTTCTTGCCACTCTTCCATAAAGGCCAGATTTGTGCAGTGCACGACTGATTGTTGTCCTATGGACAGACTCTCCCACCTCAGCTGTAGTTATCTGCAGTTCATCCAGAGTGATCATGGGCCTCTTGTCTGCATCTCTGATCAGTCTTCTCCTTTTTTGAGATGAAAGTTTGGAGGGACGGCCGGGTCTTGGTAGATTTGCAGTGGTCTGACACTCCTTCCATTTCAATATAATTGCTTGCACAGTGCTCCTTGAGATGTTTAAAGCTTGGGAAATCTTTTTGTATCCAAATCCGGCTTTAAACTTCTCCACAACAGTATCTCGGACCTGTTGTGTTCCTTTGTCTTCATGGTTCTCTCTGCACTTTAAACAGAACCCTGAGACTATCAAAGAGCAGGTGCATTTATACAGAGACTTGATTACACACAGGTGCATTCTATTTATCATCATCAGTCATTTAGGACAACATTGGATCATTCAAAGATCCTCACTGAACTTCTGGAGTGAGTTTGCTGCACTGAAAGTAAAGGGGCCGAATAATATTGCACGCCCCACTTTTCAGTTTTTTATTTGTTAAAAAAGTTTAAATTATCCAATAAATAAACAAAAAATACATTTTTTATATCTTTATGTTTGAAGACTAAAATGTGGCGAAATGTTAAAAGGTTCAAGGGGGCGAATACTTTCGCGAGGCACTGTAGTTATCCTCACTGCTGGATGAGTCGTTTCCATCTTTTTGATTTGAGGTTGTGACATTGAACACTTTCTTGTGTGACTTGTATTGCTTTCCGTGATATTTAGGTCTCACGTCTGCGTGCATAGGTTGCTTTGGCCTGATCAGAGAGAGACACAGCAGAGAAAGACACAGCAGAGACACAGCAGAGAGACACAGGCAGAGGAGACACAGCAGAGAGGTCACAGCAGAGAGAGACCACATCAAAGAGAGACACAGCAGAGAACACAGCAGAGAGACACAGCAGAGAGAGAGAGGACACAGCAGAGGGAGAGAGACACACTGCAGAGAGAGACTCAGAGTAAGACACAGGCAGAGAGAGAAAAAAACAGAGAGAGTTAGAGACGCGCAACAGATGACACCAGACACACACCAGAGAGAGAAAGCCACACACACACACCTGAGACACACCAGAGAGACCACAGAGAGACACCAGAGTGACACAACAGGAGAGACACACCAGAGATCGAGAGGACACCAGAGAGGAGAGAGGACACACACCAGAGAGAGAGAAAGGACACACACACCACAGAGAGAGACACCAGAGAGACACACCAGAGAGCGAGTGAGACACCAGAGACGGGAGCACCAGTTTATTTGATTAGCACAGATTAAACAGAACTGTTTTAGAACTTAAAAAGAAAGATAAAAACCTGAAAGCCCTTAAGTTTTTAAACATTGTCACCTGGTTTTTAAACCTTGAGAGAGGAGCCTGTCTCACATCTTCAGGAAGACTGTTCCAGATTTTTAGCAGCATGAATCTGAAAAGCAGCCTCCCCATGTTTAGTTCTGACTCTGGGCCACTAACAGGAGTCCAGTCCCTGTGCTCCTCAGAGTCCGGGGCTGGTTCATATGGGACTAACATGTCACTAATATATTTTGGTGCGAGGCATGGAGAGACTTGTACACAAGCAGAGCTGTTTTAAAAAAAACAAGTCTATTCTCTGAGCCACAGGAAGCCAGTGCAGAGACCTGAGGACTGGACTAATGTGGTGTACTTCCTGGTTCTTGTCAGGACTCGAGCTGCTGCATTTGAATGTACTGCAGCTGTTTTTACAGCCTGTTTGGAAGGACCTGTGAGCAGGCCATTGCAGTAGTTAACCTACTGGAGACAAATGCATGGATAAGAATCTCCAAGTCTGCTTTAGACACTATGTTTTTGATCCTGGCAATGTTTTTTAGATGGTAAAAAGCTGCTGATGTTACTGATTTGATGTGGCTATTAAAATTTAAGTATGAGTCCAGTATTACCCCTAGATTTCTGACCTTGTTTGAAGGTTTTAGGGAGAGAGACTGTAGGTGACAGATGACGCTCTCTCTTTGTTTCTGGGGACCAAAGACAATCATTTCAGTTTTGTCTGCGTTTAGCTGAAGGAAGTTGTTTTGCATCCACTCACTGATCTGTTGGATACAGTGAAGGAGTGAGTCCACTGGTCCATGTTCTCCTGCAGTCAGTGAGGACATAGATCTGAGTGTCGTCTGCATAGATATGATAGGAAAACTTTGTTTCTGCGTATTAACTGACCTAACTGGCAGCATGTAGAGATTGAACAGAAGAGGTCACCAGGGATCGACCCCTGTGGGACTCCACAGGTCAGGGCCATATGATCTGAGACACATGGTTTCCAATCTCCACAAAGTACTTCCTGTCTTCAAGGTAAGACCCAAACACTTAGGGGGGGCTGTGCACAGCGGACGCAACACAGTCATCTAGTCTCTGTAAGTGGTCATGGGCGACAGGGTCAAGCCCCAGAACACAACACAAAAATCACAAGATTCTAAGATTGAGACTTGCCTGCGTCAGTGTTCAGCCGAGACCTTGACAAGAGCAGTCTCAGCGCTAGTGGTGGGGTCTAAAGCGGAAAGTTCTTCTTGAACATGACGTTCACGTACTGTAATGGCCCCACGTCACCAGATTTCCAATCAACAGAGACACTTTGGGATGGAACAGGAGCATCATGGGTGTGCAGCCGACAAATCTGCACAAACTGCATCAATCATATGGACCAAAGTCACTAAGGAATGTGTCCAGTACCTTGGTGCATCTATGCCACAAAGGAATTAAGACGGAATAAAGGTTCCAACCCGGTACTAGCAAGGTCTAAAGTGGCTGGTGTGTGTACATTGGTATCATTGATTTTGGATGCGAGGAGTCTATGGTCCAGATGAATCTTTGATCTATACTGACCTGAACTCACAGTCTTCAGCCTGAGATGGAGCGGTGCTCCGTTCGCAGGGACAACAGGCACATGGGCACAGAGGACACAGGCACCATGGGTAGAGGAGGGAAGAGAGGGACCAGGCACCTGGGCACAGGGGACAGAGAGGACACAGGCACCATGGGCCAGGGGACAGAGCGGACACAGCGCACCATGGGCACAGGGACAGAGAGGACACAGGCACCATGGGCACAGGGGACAGAGCGGACACAGGCACCATGGCACAGGGGACAGAGAGGGACACAGGCTCCATGGGCACAGGGGACATGGACAGAGCGGGGATCTGCTCAGAGACCAGAGGAGACTTCAGCACAGGTCCTGATCAACAGAGGAGTCTGCAGCCTTCTCCCTGGACCTTCACAACACATAAAAACAATACGTCCATGTATTTTGGTTATAGCAGTGTCCATGCTCTAGGACAACTATAAAGTCAAGAGGGTATGAACACTTATGACAGAGGAGGAACAGGATCCTGGGAGATGGTGGGATCGGGACTTGACTCACCGCTTGTGTTGTCTCTGGGCGCCTCTGGTCCTCTCACTGGTTGCTTCATGTCTTCTTGTGTCCTTCTCTCCTCTTCTGTCTACAAGCCTCCTCCTTCTCTGACTCTGGGAACTCACTCTTCCACTTCTTCTAAGGGTTGCTTCTAGTGATCGTCGTCTTCTCAGTCTCTTCCCTCACAGGCCTCTGCTCTGCTTGTTCGTTGGGGGCCGCTCTCACGGCTTTGTGCCCTTCTGAGTGCCTTGGCTTGGTTCTGGTCTGGCTAAGCCCTGGTCCTTCTTCTGGGCACAAGCTGTGGACCTCCTTCCTCTCCTCCTTGGGGCCCCTGGTCTCCTTTGCACGGGGCCCTTGTCTCTTCTCCACGGGCGCCCCTGGTCTCCTTCTCCACGGGGCCCCTGGTCTCCTTCTCCACGGGGCCCCTGGTCTCCTTCTCCACGGGGCCCCCCTGGTTCTCCTTTCTCCACGGGGCCCCTGGTCTCCTTCTCCACGGGGGCCCCTGGTCTCCTTCTGTGAGTCCTTCTTCTTGTTGGACTGAAACAGGAGCAGAAACAAAAGCTTGAGGGATCAGGGTCTGACACACACTTTGATAAATGATTGGACAGATTTTAATTGTGCGTGTGAGACTGCTGCAACACGTTAGGTTTCTTTCCAATTGGTGGTGACGTAGCTGTGACGTAACGAATTACTGTCTAACCATTTCCTGACTTTGTTCTGGCTGAAATAACTGAAAACTGAGGGAAACTGTAAAATAAACTTCCAGCGCTCTAGTGCGCAAGATCCCGTCTCTGTGTGTTAATCTACGACACCTGTGAGGACCTGTGAGGACTATGTGTTGTGTGTGTTGTGGTGTGTGTGTACCATGAGTGAGGGACATGTGTGGGAGGGGATCTTCTTGTGCGGACCACATGCCGCAGACGCTCTTCTCTTTGAATGACCAACTCGCATGAAGGCTTCCACCTCCTCCTGTAGGGTGCAGCACCACTCACGCCCATCTGCAACGCACACACACACACAACACACACAGGATAAAGTGGACTCACATCAGACCAGACTCACATCAGACCAGAATCAATCAGACAGACTCACATCAAGGACCAGACTCACATCAGACCAGGACTCACATTCAGACCAGGACTCACAATCAGACCTGACTCACATCAGTCCGACTCACATCAGCCCGCCTACATACAGACCCGATCACATCAGGACCCGACTCACACCAGGGACCCGACTCACACCAGACCCGACTCCACCAGACCAGACTCACATTATGACCAGACTCCCATTAGGACCAGACTCACATTAGACCGACTCACACCAGACCAGACTCACATCAGACCAGTCACATTAGACCACGCTACACCAGACCCGACTCACATCGAACCGACTCACATCAGAACCGCCTCACATCAGACCAGACTCACATCAGACCGACTCACATCAGACCCGACTCACATCAGACCAGACTACTCACCTTTAGACCGACTCACATCAGACCAGACTCACATCAGACTCCACAATCAGACCCGACTCACATTCAGACCAGACACACAATTCAGTCCAGACTACTCACATTAGACCAGACTCTCATCAGACCAGACTCACAACAGACCAGACTCACATCAGACTCACAATCAGGACAGACTCCATCAGACTTCACATAGACAGACTAGGCCCTGGTCCGGCCGGGATTCGAACCCAGGACCTTCTTGCTGAGAGGCGAGAGTGCTATCCACTCAGCCACCGTGCCGCCCTGAACATAGAAGGCTGTAGATCCAGGACTGAGGCTGTAGATCCAGGACTGAGGCTGTAGATCAGGACTGAGGCTGTAGATCCAGGACTGAGGCTGTAGATCCAGGACTGAGGCTGTAGATCAGGACTGAGGCTGTAGATCCAGGACTGAGGCTGTAGATCCAGGACTGAGGCTGTAGATCCAGGACTGAGGCTGTAGATCCAGGACTGAGGCTGTAGATCCAGGACTGAGGCTGTAGATCCAGGACTGAGGCTGTAGATCCAGGACTTAGGCTGTAGATCCATGACTGAGGCTATACTGTAGATCCAGGCTGCAGAACGAGGACAGACTCAATGCAGGACTGAGGCAGCTCCCAGGCGGGGAGAGGGTGCAGCCCACATGTCTGGCTGGGCAGGACACCTTGTGTATGAATTGTATTATACAAATAAACTTGCCTTGCCAGATGCAGATGGAGGAGACCAATTGGCGCCGTCACAGATGCTGGGAGTCTCTGTTTTTGTCTTCTATAAAACCATGTCCACGCTGCAGATCTCTGGTCCTGACTGTTACTAACAATAAAACAGTTCTTCTGCTGAGACACAATCCCACACCTCTGATTCTTGTGTCATTTTCTTCACTTCCTTTCCTCCTCAGGACGTCTCCACCGAGATAATAACTCCAGAGGACGAGGCACCTGAAAGCCATTAACGACCCAGGGGAAAACCAGTTCTATTACAAGTACAAGCCTCCAGTAAACTTCAAAAATACTTTGTGCTGAGAGCTCCGCAGACCAAAACAACGATCAAGGAGTTGCTACTAAAAGCTCATCAGGTCCTGACACTTAATGACCATTGTCCAGAGACTCAGAGAAGAGGAGAATCTGGTTCAGACCCCCGAGGACTGAGCTCAGAAACAAAGATTTCAAAGCCACTAAATCTTTGTGGCTGTGTCTGCACTTTCATTCAAACATCTGAGTCTCTCTCTCACCAAACTGAGACTGGACCAAAACGCTTCTCTTCACAGCTGCGTCAAAACTTCTGTCGCACATGGATCACACATCTATTACTTCAACCATTTATAGTAAAGACCATTTAAGATAAAGTGTGTCCTTAAGTCTTTGCTACACCTCTCAAATCCACGCCATTGATCTATTCTCCTTCTGCAAATCATGCTGGTTTATGTCAATTATATTATATTTTTATATTTACTATATTCAGTATATGTTTGTTATACAGCATTTTCTTCTTGCTTCTTTATTATGCTAAAGTTAGAGATGTTATTTTATGTTTGTATAGAGCAGGGGTGGCCAACCCGCGGCTCGTGAGCCGCATGCGGCTCTTTGGCTGGTTCCGTGCGGCTCTCGGGCTTTCACACGACAAGCGTCAAAAACGCCTCGGTGGTGGCGCTGCCATTCATTCTCTATGTAGTTCTGACCCATAGTAAAGGCCGACTTCACTCCACTAGCCAGGCCACCAAAACAATCTGACGTCGGCGAACGTCAATTCTGATTGGTCAGATGCGCTGTCAACCACTCTGCAGCTGCTACCTCAGCTGTTAAATATCATAACAAACAACACGTTGCCTCGACCCATGGCGTCCGTACGGAAAACAGTTCCTTGGTCGCTGGATGAGGGCAACTCCTTCCTCAGTTTGAGGAGAGGACACCAGCCTGATCTCGCTGGTTCCACCAGAAACCAGAAGGTGTTTGTGGAGCTAGCACTAAGGACGGAGCAGAATGATTCCCACAAACATGACAATGCAGAGAAAAGTTAAAAAGCTTAAAAGTGACAACCGTGAAATGAAAGATCGCAGCAGCAGAAGTAGAGGCAGACCCGAAAAGTCTGGAGGTGGTTTGACCAAATGGATTACATTTACGGACATCGGCTAACACCGGCTAACACCGGCTAACATGCTAAAACCAGCTAACAACAACTAGCATTACACCAGGAGATAAGCCAACTCTGCCTGGTGAGTGTCTGTCTTCAATCAAATGCAAAAGTATCTGGTCTTATACTGAGCATGTGTCTGTGGTTCTAAATCAGCTAAAGTGGTGTTGGTGTTATGTGTCAAATTTATATCTTTTACTAAATACAGTCAGAGAGTGAATCATGGTTCGATAAAGACAGTTGTGTTTCTGCTGAACACTGGGTTGAAACTTGATTTTTTTTTCTTGGTTAGAGATTGAAAGCATTCATTTCGGAATCATAATTGATGTTCGCTGACGTGCAATTGTTCTGGTATCGACTCGCCCGGTTAGAACCAGGGCCGAACCATTAATAAAAAGTACAGGGGAGCGGTTGAAGCGAGCGGTGGAAGCGCCCGCAAACCAGGGAGAGTCGAGTCCAGCCCTTTAGTGCTGTACGAGTCAATTTCTGTCATTATCATGTTGATGACATTTACATCTATCTGAGCAGAGCACACCTCTCTCTGCTCAGACAGGTTGCATGTGTGTGCGCGTGTCTCTGCTCGTGTGCGTACGTGCGCGTGTGTGTGCGTGTGTAAGGGATGGGGTGATGTTTATGTAGCGCACATTTGTATGATGTGGCTCTTTGCTGTAACACAGTAAAAAAAATGGCTCTTAGTCTCTGACTGGTTGGCCACCCCTGGTATAGAGTAATTGCTCACTTATCTTGTGCTGTGTGCTCCTCATTCCTACTGTTCTGTAACTGGTGATGCAACACTGACATTTCCCCACTGTGAGACGAATAAAGGAGCTCTTATTCTTATTTATTTATTTGAGAAAGGAGGAACAATACATATTAATGAAAATATTAACAATTGTACATATGTCATATCATAGCCTTAGATTAATTTCCGTCTGCAGACTCCCTGGCAGTTTGGTGTTACAACAAAAGTAAAAACATACAAAGACACTATTTACTGAATATACTGTATACAGAGAGACAGGGACAAGAACAGTCATCATGTTAGAACAAGCAACAAGCAAGAGTGGACAACAAAGCACAATGTAGAAGGCAGTAGTGGAAACACATCATCTGTATTGCACAAACCTGAGTATTGCACATGCCCTGACTCTCCTAATGTTGCACTGACCCTAATAATCTCAATCTTAAATTTGAAAAATTACCTAAATAACAAGAATGTACATCTACTCTAAACTATAATGTTTCTACCATAGAATGAGTCTGGTGTGTGTGTAAATGGTTAGTGGTGGTGGGAGGGACCCATGGCACAGACTGTTTTCAGGACTTTGAGAGTCCTGAAAAGTGCTGTGTAAAACCAATGCATTATTATTATTATGGAGCCTTTGGTCCATCAGGGGCTGATGACCACTGTCCATCTACATGTACAGTGGGGCAAAAAAGTATTTAGTCAGCCACCGATTGTGCAAGTTCTCCCACTTAAAATAATGACAGTGGTCTGTAATTTTCATCATAGGTACACTTCAACTGTGAGAGACAGAATGTGAAAAAAAATCCAGGAATTCACATTGTAGGATTTTTAAAGAATTTATTTGTAAATTATGGTGGAAAATAAGTATTTGGCCAATAACAGAAATTCAACGCAATGGAAGGAGGTTTTGGCTCAAAATCTCACGATACATGGCCCCATTCATTCTTTCCTTAACACGGATCAGTCGTCCTGTCCCCTTAGCAGAAAAACAGCCCCAAAGCATGACGTTTCCACCCCCATGCTTCACAGTAGGTATGGTGTTCTTGGGATGCAACTCTTTCTCCAATCACGACGAGTTGAGTTTATACCAAACAGTTCTACTTTGGTTTCATCTGACCACATGACATTCTCCCAATCCTCTGCTGTATCATCCATGTGCTCTCTGGCAAACTTCAGACGGGCCTGAAAATTCACTGGCTTCAGCAGGGGGACACGTCTGGCACTGCAGGATTTGATTCCCTGTCGTCGTAGTGTGTTACTGATGGTCCCAGCTCTCTGCAGGTCATTCACCAGGTCCCCCCGTGTGGTTCTGGGATTTTTGATCACCGTTCTCATAATCATTTTGACCCCACGGGATGAGATCTTGCGTGGAGCCCCAGATCGAGGGAGATTATCAGTGGTTGAAATATCGTTTTGGGTTACATTTGGGCTATCTTTCATACAGATAACGAGTTAACCCTCTAGGCGCCACGGTCGACTTAAAACAGGTGCCATTAATACAGGTAACAGGTGGAGGACAGAAGAGCTTCTTAAAGAAGAAGTTACAGGTCTGTGAGAGCCAGAGATCTTCCCTGTTTGAAGTGACCAAATACTTATTTTCCACCATAATTTACAAATAAATTCATTAAAAATTCTACAATGTGAATTTCTGGATTTTTTTTTCACATTCTGTTTCTCACAGTTGAAGTGTACCTATGATGAAAATTACAGACCTCTGTCATTATTTTAAGTGGGAGAACTTGCACAATCGGTGGCTGACTAAATACTTTTTTGCCCCACTGTATATTGTTGAATGTGGAGTGTCCTGGATCATCACTACTGCCCTTATGCCGCGTTCAGACCGGATCATTCGTTGCGTTGGCTTTCAATGCAAAGTCAATAGTGATGGGCGTTTGAGCCTCAAAACGCACAAGCGTCTCGGAATGCACGCACTGACCGCGCTGGGAAGTCGAAGGGGAGGAACGCATGAGATGAATTTTGCTGAACCTTTCCTCGGGACGCTCGTGCAGCAACCAATCAGAGAGCCGCAAAGTGGTCACGGAGACATTAGCGGTCTAAGCGAGTAGACTGAAAATACTTGTAAACAGCCAAAACAGGAGCTACACCAGGACTAAACCAGGACTAAACCAGGGTTGACAGTGGGGGACATAGTGCTTGTTAACATGTGAGTTTTCATGCTCCCGTGACTTTATGCAACTGCTTCGAGTGTGTTCGCCGATGCGGAAATACCTTTTAATAATAAAATAAACGTATGGCGCACCTCCGTGAACACATACTGCTGTTATATAAAGTCCGTGGAAGGTCCCTGAACACACACACGCTGCAAAGCTGCATTATTGGAGAAGATCTTTACACAATAAGCCGCTAGCTAAACTCTGTTAGCATCAAAGGCTACTTCCTCCACTCCCGGCGCGCACCAGGACTTCTAGTCTGAAGACCCCTGCGTCTGAAAACTAGAGAATGTGCGTTTCAGCGTTAGTCTCTCCTGTTTGCACTTAAGTCAAACATGAGAGCATTGTCTAAAGACTTCTCCTGTTCAGACAACATTGTCTTTAATCACTCTCCTCTTTCTTCTTTCACCGTCACCGACATGAAAGCTGTTTCCTCTGTTTACGCACACTAATCCAGACAGATGAACCGGGGACAATCCAGATTAAGCCAGAGCAAAGATTAGCTCTTTAAAGTGCTGTAATGAACCGGACACAAGGCGAAGCAGGAGTTTTCCCAAACTTAGTTCCTTGAGCATCTCAAACAAGGCTCACAGACGTGTGTTTATGGGATCACAACAGGCCATTCACAGATGCAATATTACCCTTATTAATCTCCTGAGCACGGAGCAATAACAGCGGCCATTTTTAACCCGCCCAAATAGTTAGAGCTCCAGTGTCCTTGAGCAACGCGCTGATCGATAGTTGTTCCAAGAGCGCAGACTTCGGGTCGATACCAGAATCTGTGGTTTTTATGTCAAGGTAGAAGTGAAAGGACAGAGATCATTCACTGTAATTTAACAACTGCTTTTTATGTTTTTATTGTACAATACTAACAATACATTTAGGTCTCAATCGGACGATAAGGTTCACACAATCATTATAAAACTATACAGTAATGAACACACCAATATTGTTGTTCTTATTGTTGTAGCACAAACTCTGACTCTGCTGAACCTTTATTGCTGCACCATCAAAAGTTTCTTTGTTAGTTTTGTGACTGTGGTTCGACAACATCACAGAGAAAAAAAGGAGACCGGAGAGAGATCAGAGAGAGAGAGCGACCAGAGAGAGAAGAGAGAGAACAGAGAGAACAGCGAGAGAGAGCACAGAGAGACCAGAGTGACCAGAGAGAGAGACCAGAGAGAGCAGAGAGAGAGCGAGACCAGAGCGAGAAGAGCGAGAGAACAGAAAGCGGGAAAGAGCA